CAAAAAACAGTGTGTCCATAGGTCAGATGCGGTTATGTAGCGGCACCCGAGGTAAACAAACCCCAGTGCCCTGTAATACGGGAGGAGCGGTGGTATTAGGGGGTTTTCACAGGTGGGGCCGGGGACCGCATAGGCGACGAGATCAAGTAATTGTACGCAAAAAGAAGCTATTGGGAATGCACGGTTGTACTTTGAGTGGGTGAGAAATGGTTGCCCTAGCCCCTAACTCTAATCCCTAACCCCCGACCCTAAGCCCTTATCTCCTAACCCTAGTCCCTAACTTTAACCTTGATCCCTAACCCTAAGCCCTGACCTTCTAACCCCCACTCCTGCCCCTAACCCCTAACCCCAACGCTTAGTCGCAGCCCTAAACCCTAACCATCAAGCATCCATCGCGAAAGTTAAAAGGAGACAACAGACCGAAAGTCAAGAAGGACCACCGACATTGGGCCGAAAAAGGTAGACACCGCAACAAAGAGCCAAGGCCAACAAAATAACACACCGTAAAGCACAGAAACACCATGCTAACGTAATCACACCAACACAAATTAATTAAGTAGGTCAACAGTATTGTGTCCATCAGGTGCGGCTACACAACCACATCTCACCTGTCCATATTCTGTGCAACGCATGTTCTTGGTCGGAAATCGGACCCCCGTGTTGAGTGGGGCCAAGGTCCTACGGTGGCTAACAGAGATGTGGAATATGCTCGACAAGCCCTACGCCCAAGCACATATCCAGCTGCACTGACTTAGCCACACCGCTGACGCATGCTCGGGGCGAGTAATGTGTGAGACCGCTCTTGGTAGTGTCCACCTCAACCCCTTGGGGGTCCTAACTTATCGAGAAGCCGCAGAGGTCACGGCTTGGGAGAGGAGGGGGGGGGAGGTATGAGCAGACTGGATTACCGTATCCTTCAGACCCCAAGCCTGACTATGAGGTCCAGCGGCTCTAAGGGAAACATTTATGGAGCTGAACATCGTAGTGTGTGAAACCAGGTTCAGCTGCAAAGAAGAAGCAAGTTTGTTGTGAATGGAGGGCTTGGCCGACCAGCCCACTCTCGTCCCCGATGGCCTTGGTTCAACCATAGCAGTGCAACGGCAAAAATGAGAGGAGTGTGCTCCCTAGAGCGCACAGTGAGGTGGATGCACTGAATCAACGCGGGGCCAGATCAGGGTCCGGCGCGTTTTCTTCGGTTGCGAGCCCATAATAACTGTCATCATTGAGGGGCGAGGAGTGGCGACACGCCTAGACGCAGCTCGCGCTGCGCCAGCTACCTGAGCCAACGCCTCCACATTACGCATCGGCCTGGTCGGCCACTTGTGAGCTGATCGCACTGAGAAGGTGAACCAGTACTAGGAACCTTAACATCCACTCGCGGCAACCGCCTCCACTGTCCGCACTGTCCACGTACTTTCATTCACCGTATGGGCCTACCTGGCCACGGACGTGCATATTCCTCCCTATAAACAATCTGACGCGCTTGGACCTATCACGGTGAACCAAGAAGCCGTAGCTTAGAAGGTAGCAGACTAAGAATTCAACTCAGTCAGTCTAGTGCATGTTTGTGCGTGAAGTGGCCGACTGGTGGACTGAGAGTCAGGCTGTAATGACTTCTTCTTAAACTGGCTCCCATAGCAACTTCATAGATGTGAGATCCCAGCCACTCACACCCTTTGTGTGAAATCCTGGGGTGTTGTGTGGGGTCAGGTCGTGTGTGTGGCACGCATGTATGAGCTGTTCTCAGCTCTGTCAGCCAATGCGCCCAATCCCCACATTTGACAACTGACGTACTGGGTCAGTAAAATGGTATCCGAGAGAAGGAAGAGTGAGGCAGACAGTCTCAGAGCATATTCCTCACTATAGACAGTGCGACTTACTTGAATCTACCCAAGTGGCTCAGAAGGCTGCCAACAGACGGGATAACTCGATCTTCCTCGGAAGACGGAGAATCAGGCTGCAATGGCTTCTTCTTAATGTGGCCTTTATGACACTTCCACTAATTTGAGATCCGTGTCGCCACATCCCCCCCCTTCTTGTTATATGAAAACCTGGTTCGTCGTGCGTGTACCGGGGGATGTGGTGGAATGCCTAGACACGAGTCCACGCGGCGCCAGCCATTTGCGCCCGACCGCGCCTCCAATCTTCCTGACGCTGCCTTGACATGGGGCTCGGGCAAGGGGGAGAGAGTGCGGCAGATGCAGCGCGCGTCTACTCACCGTCATCGTTCCTGGGCCCACCCGACTGTGGGGCACACGGTGGACATCGTGGAAAACGACGATCGCACTGTCTTATGCTGATTCTTTCATGGAAGACGAAGGAGCGACGGAGGAGAGCTGGCTTACCATAGGTGCCCTAACTCATTAAATATGCCTACATTAACGGAAAATCGTCATCCAATCTTATCTACGAGTGTGAATGCACAGAATAGTGCCCACATAAATAGTTACATATTGCTCAGACTGCTGATGCTCTACCCATTCCGTTGATAGATTAAATATTAGCAAAAATTAGACAGCGCAAAAACCACCTTATAGCATGTTCAAAAGTCAAGATAACCACTTGATGATAGGCCCTTTCACGATCACTTATGACGTATTCGCAAATAGTAGGGCAATACCGATACGTTTAAACAATGGATCGCCTGTAGGCATTATTACTCTATCTTAGGGGATGAAATCGCGTACATTTCTACAGCTAACTTTCATAATCAACAAAATGTCTGATTTTTTTAAAAATCAACCTGTCTATTCACGTCATGCTTCACGTGACTCAGGCAAGGCAAAAGAACAATTTTCAATTGCGGCAAGTTTTGTTTGGTAAAATTCTCGAGGGTAAATTGCACTCCCTTAAAGGAAAACCATTGGATGCGCAACCTAACCCCAGGAGTGTTACAAATACAGGAAATTATCCGAATATAAACTAATGTAGATCGCCTTAAAAATTATTCATATATATATATATATGTTGCATGTAAAAAGGCACTTTCCTGAAGCCCCTAAACAAGTAAGCAAAATGCTCGACGTTTCAGGGGCTTAAAGGGACAAATCAGGTTCTGTCATCACATTACGTGAGCTAAGTTATCTACTGTACTTTCGTAATCTGAAGGACGGCAGGAGAGTCAGTCCCTGATTGTTATTCAGATGAGAGAAAGGAAGAAAAGGAGGTCTTTGAAAGTCAGGGCAATCGGCGTTTTGCACAGTACTGTAGATGTACGTAAGTATTATTGGTTATTCACAACCGCAATGACGGCTCTGACTTGTGCGTTGCATACTTACTTGAATAAACATTATCAGTTGTGTAACCGAGGCAGGTAGCGACTCTTGCAATGTGAAAACAGGCCCAGTTATATGGTGGTGACGGGAGCAATAAAAATTCTGGATTTTTTAATTTTTGAGCACTATTTTGAACTGATACGATTTTTGATGTACGTTTATTATCTGCCCATCCTGAGTTTGGCCTTTTGCATCTAGTCGTTAGCACAAAAGGTCGAAAAGGTAGAAAAGTGATTATTTACTGAAAAATAACAATTCATGTTTGTACAGAGATATTTAGAAATACAGTTTAAATAAGCAATGCCTTATTATGGCCGAAAATGTATGCCATATCAATGCACGCTTAGAAAACTTTCTACTGACCTCATTACACACTACGTTTTAGGTTGCAATCAGTCAAACCCCGTATATGTACATACGATATATATGCTGTATAAATGTTGTGGGGTGCGATACCACACTCACCTCCGACGATGGAAGCGTGCTTGCTTTTGAAACATACGACCATAAAACGGTGGTTCCCGAGACCGCCTTAGCTTCTCATTTATGTCTGGGGACGCCCATCTGGGCTTCTAGTAGCAATGTGTATATGTGGCAAAGGTATTAAACCATACTCCCGACATAGGTACTAACTGATAGTTCGACCATCGGTTTCGATTATGTCCACCGTGTGCCCCACAGCTGCAGCAGCAATGGGAGCAGGGACGGTGACTTACGCAGGGGTTTATAGTGCCAGTAGACTTGCGTAGCATCTACCCACACTCTCTCCTCCTCCCTCACCCGAGCCCGGTGTCAAGACAGAGTCAAGAAGACCGGAGACGAGAGAGGCCGCAGGTGGATGGCTCGGACGGATCCTCACCTTGGCGTTCCACCACACCCCCTGGTCCACACAACAATAACCAGGATTTCAACCTACACAAGAGAGATTTGGAGGCTGGCACGACCGAAGCCGCACCTGGGCGGGCCATCAACGCCTGGCTCGGATCCCACACTGTGATGGGAGTGCCATAAAGGCCACATTAAAAAGGAGCCATTGCAGCCTGACTCTCAGACTGCCTCCAGTGAAGGAGGAGGTCCAAGTTACCCCGTCAGTTGGCAACCTTCCAAGCCACGGCTTTTAGCGCACCGTGATAGCTTCAAGCGCGTCAGATTGTTTATAGTGAGGAGGAAGTGCGCTGAGTCGTCGACCTCACTCTCCCTTCCCACTCCCACACCCCAGCCGCTGTCCGAGCCGGTCAGCAGACTGGAGTGGGGAATGGGCGCGGTGGCTGACACGGTCGACTGACCATGACTGCGCGCGCCACGGCACAACCTGGCCCCCCATACACACAACACCAGGATTTCACACAACGGGGGTTGAACGGCGTGTCTCTCACTCGCGTGAGAGTGCCGTGGAAGGTGCTGTTTCAGCCCGTTCCCAGCCCACCAGTCCGCCACTCCACACAACACACACACACACACACACACACACAACGCGACGAACTGCGTGAACCGAGAGCGGGCGTCAATCAGCAACCTTCCTATCCACGACGCTTGACGTGTCGGGATAGTCTCGGACTCAAGTCACCTGTGCAGCCGAAGCCGCATGGGGACCGAGTCGAGAGGCGGACTTCCCACTTGCGTGGGAGGTGGCAGTTGGGTGTATGAGTGTTGATTTCTGGTGGGGTGATGGTGGTGGTGGAGGAGGTAGGGAGTGAGTGGATGTGTGGTGTGACCGGCGGTTGTCTACCGCAGGTCGTCGTAGATGCGCATGTGGCCGAATAGGCCCATGCGATGCCTGAAGGCGCGAGGGCAGTGTGGGCAGTGGAGGCGAGTGCGGCGGGTGTAGGTTGGTGCTCCAGGCACTGATTCGCCAGTCTCTGTGCGATGGATTCGCAAGCGACCGACCAGGCCGGTGTGTGAGGTGAAGGTGCGGTCGCAGTGAGGGCAGGTGCAGTCCTGATCCTCATCGTTGGAGTCGGGGGAGGTGGTGGTAGTGTCGGTTGTTGCGCGCGGGACAGTCGCCTGAGCGGCCGTCGTTGGAGCAGTGGACGAGGAGAAGGAGGAGGAAGAGGCGGGCGGGGAGAAGATGGTTGGTGCAGTTCGAGAGGCGCAGTTAATCCGAAGATGTCCAACAAGTCCGATTCGAGCCCGGAATGTCCGTTGACATCGAGGACACGTTGGAAGCGGTTGTGAAGCGGCGTTGCGTACTGCGCGAAGTTGTGATTTGCGGGCTTCGCGTTTCGCTTTGGCGGCAGCGATGCGGTTGGCTTCGTAGATCGCAGCGCCCGTCTTCACTGTCCTCCTCCAGGTCGGTCGATCGAGTGCGAGCTCCTCCCAGTTGGTGGGGTTGATTTGTAGGTGTTTCAGGGAGGACTTCAGGGTATCCTTGTAACGGCGAATCTGGCCTCCTTGACGGCGAGAACCCGTCGCGACGTCTCCATAGAAGAGTCGTTTGGGTAGTCGCTCGTCGTCCATGCGCACCAGGTGGCCGCTCCAGCGCAGCTGAATTTGTCTCAGTATGGCGTAGATGCTGAGGATTCCCGTCCGTTCCAGCACATCAGTGTCGGGGATTCGATTCTGCCAGTTCAGCCTCAGGATGCGACGAAGACAACTGAGGTGGAAGTGGTTCAGACGACGTGCCTGCCTTGTGTACACCGTCCAAGTCTCCGCTCCATACAGTAGTGTCGGCAGGATGACGGCCTTGTACATCTTCAGCTTCGTGCTCAGCTGAAGACCGTGGCGATTCCAAACTGTGCTTTGGAGGCGACCGAAGGCTTGACTGGCTTTCGAGATCCTGTTGGCGACTTCGTCGTCGATCTTGGTGTTGCGGTAGAGAGTACTGCCCAGGTACGGGAAGTTCTCCACCATTTGCAGTTGGGTTCCGTTCACGCTGATTTGCGGCGGCGCGTAGGGGGCTGTGGCGCAGTTGTCGGCGAAGAGGAGTTCGTGAACGGTGGCAGAAGACGGTGTTCGTCAGGATGAGGCGGTGTTCTGCGCAGGTGCGGAGAAGCAGCAGACCATTGTCGTTTATGCCGGGGAGACCGTGGGGACCCAGCATTCCTCTCCAGGCAGTTTGGTCTGTGCCGACGCGGGCGTTGAAGTCACCAAGGACAATCAACTTGTCCGCCTTCGACACAGTCGCCAAGAGGGCGTGCAGGTCCTCGTAGAATTTGCCTCTTGCGGCGGCGTTGGGGCTGCTCTTCGGCGGAGCGTAGGCGCTGATGATGGTGGCGAATTTGCTCCCATCTCGGAGAGGCAGGCGGAGGCTCATCAGGCGATCGTTGATGCCCTGCGGCAAACAGGGCAGTCGTCCCGCGATGTCGTTCCGAATGACGAAGGCGACACCCGCGTCCCGTCGCTCTGCCCTGGGTCGACCGCTCCAGAAGGTGTAGCCGACACCCACCTCCTCCAGTTGGCCTTGTTCGGAGAATCGGGTCTCGCTGAGTGCGGCGATGTCCACCTTGTAGCGCGCCAGTTCCCGCGCCACTAGCGCCGTCCTTCGTTCCGGTCGGTTGCTCCTCGGATTGTCTAAAAGGGAACGAACATTCCAGGCTGCCAGAGTGAGCGGGCTCACACTGCCAGTCTGGTGACACCGAGTGGGGCGACGGGAAGGAGGTGGAGTAGAAGGTGACGAAGGAGAAGAATAGGCAGAAGAATAGGCAGAGGAAGAGGAAGAAGAGGTAGTTTGAGGAGAACGAGTATGGTTGTTGTTGCTATTGTTATTGTTGTTGTTTCGATTTTGATTGTTTCGACCATGTTTAGACGTCTGCGGCCCTGGCTAGCCTGAAGACGGCGTGGTACCCAGCAATGTTTAGTCCACCTTTTCTAGGCCCTTCACCTCGTGGGGGCTGGCAGTGCCATCCCTGAATAGGGCTGCCCATGTGCCGTTGTGGCACGGCCGAACTCCACTATGGGGCCACGATTTCGGGTTGCAGTGGAGAGCGACTTGAATTCGCCGTAAGCCGCGGTCTCCGACGGCGTAGGTGGGCGCGTCAAGGCGATGTCGATGTGGAGATCCATCCCGTCACCGGTTGTCCAGCGGCGTGCAGAGACGAACCACGTCACGACGGTGCCGACGCAAGGTTCCATCCGACCTTCCATCCAGCGGAGTCCGCAAACCCTGAGCACACGGCACAGCGCACAGGGCCCCCTCACCTGGTTTAGCCCGCCGGTCGAGACGGTTGCCCGGGGTGTGGGCGCTGAGCAGAGCCCAGCTACGTGGAGCCACAGGTGAGAGTTGAGTGCCAGCAAGTGAACGCTAGGCGTAGTCTCACCTGCAAGCAAGTGAGCGACCACCACGACCATCACGTGAGCCCACCGCTGACACCCCTACAACCCATAGGTACTAACTAAAAGCCCAGACACGGGTTTCACCGATATTCTGTCGTCGCGTGACGCAGCTGCAAGGGGTTCGGCTCCTCAGTGTATCCCCCAGCGTTCTCTTTGCGGTTTCTGGTAATGTGGACTTCAGAGAATAATCAATTTTATAATTTCGGCAATTATTCAGTGGAGGAAATAGAAGTAAGTCTCTCGGACATGATGTTTTAGGGCCAGACATGAAATTTCAATGAACAGCCGAGTCAAAGACAACCAGCTACTGTGGAATAACTATGTGTTGTCCGTCCTACAAAGAAGCAGTGCTACAAGTAGTAGTAAAATTATATGACAAAGGTATTATACTGTACTCTAGGCTTTTAACTAGTACCTATGTTGGGAGTATGGCATAATGATTTGCCATATAAATTTCACGCAACATTTAGTACGACTTGTTTGTAGAATAAGCATTGCGTGGCTATTCTACAGTAGTTGATCGTCTTCTACTCGAATATCGTTTAAACCTTTGGGTTTAGTTCTGAGCCTCATGTCCCAGAGACTTAATCCCATGTCCTGAACTGAATAATTTCCGAAATTATTGGTCAGATATGTATATATTCACTCAGGAATGAGAGCACACCGATCCATTGGCTTCCCAAAACAAACAAGCCTGTTTGTGTTTCCGGTCCCTGCTGGTGGTCAGGGTTACGGTTGGCCGAATGAAGTCAGACAAGCCCCGAACATTTCCGTATCAGCATCCCCCTACCCCCAGTCTCCGTCATCTTTCCCCTGCTATATATATATATATGTATCGGTGTGCGCCCATTGCTGATTGAATAAATACCCGATCTGCTGCTACAGAGAATGACAGGTGGCGGGGCACTGATGAACGTCGTTTCGATGAAGTGCTTATGACCCATCTGGTAGGCCTCTGTGGCGGAACAACTGCGCCAGGTGTGTCTGTGCGTATGTTTGTGTTTCCGGTACCAGCTGGTGCTCAGGCAGACCTAAGGCCCCTCTGCCACTAGGTGAAACCACGAACGTCATCTACCGGACCCGGTGTAACTCCTGCGAAGTCAACTACATTGGGGAGACCGGAAAACGGCTACAGACTCGTGTTGGAGAACACATGAGGGCAGTAAGGCGAATGGACCCTTTGTCTCTGGTGGCCGAACACTGCGCCGATGCCGGACACACGTTCGCCTTTCAGCATGCCGAAATTCTGGGCCGGGGAAACGATCGCATAGCCAGGGAAACAATCGAGGCTTGGCACACGGGGACAACCTCCATCAACCGCTGTGTGGCTCTTCCCGCTGCCTATCAAGCCCTTCGAGCGCAGCTCAGTAAACAAATGAGCAGACGTGCACCCAGGCTAAACATTAATCCAGACATGAGCGAGTCCATGGCGGATACACACTCAGTCACCCCTCAACCGGGTTCCGACGAAGGCGCAGTCCTCAACGGAACGAGTGAGTTCCGTATGAACGATCGGTGAGCGCCCCCTAACATTGTATATTCTCGATCGAAAACCGACAGGGCAACGGGCTCGTGGCCCGGTGAGTAGAGGCGTTGACTTCTAAACCAACAGGTCGCGAGTTCGAGGCTCGGGTGTTCCACGCTTCGGGCTTGGGTATGGCTGGCTGACGATGGCTAATAGGCCAGAAATGGCCATTCCAGTCTCCCTTGTCTTTGTCGGTAATACCATTCTGCCTATATATCATGCGCCGCTGTGCGGCCGCTGGTTGGGCTCGAGAGAGAGTCCATAAGGCACAACGGAACGAGTGAGTTCCGTATAAACGATCGGTGAGCGCCCCCTAACATTGTATATTCCCGATCGAAAACCGACAAGGCAACGGGCTCGTGGCCCGGTGAGTAGAGGCGTTGACTTCTAAATCAACAGGTCGCGAGTTCGAGGCTCGGGTGTTCCACACTTCGGGCTTGGGTATGGCTGGCTGACGACGGCTAATAAGCCAGAAATGGCCATTCCAGTCTCCCTTGTCTTTGTCGGTAATACCATTCTGCCTATATATATATATATATATATATATATTTATGATAGTGGGCGCTCACCGATCAGGCTACGGAACATGCTCGTTCCGTTGTGCCTTGGGTCTCATACTAGAACCCTCGCAGGCAGTCGCACAGCGACCAGTAGTAGATATAGATGAGATGGTACCGACAAATTCAAGGGAGACCGGAATGGCCATTTCTGGCTTTTTAGGCGGTCTCACTTTTCTTTGTCGGTACCATCTCATCTATATCTACTACTAGTCGCTGTGCGACTGCCTGCGAGGGTTCTAGTATGAGCCCCAAGTCACAACGGAACGAGCATGTTCCGTAGCCTGATCGGTGAGCGCCCAATATCATAATTAATATTCCCGCTCACAACCGACAGGACAACGGGCCCGTGGCTCAATGGTAGAGCGTCAAACTCCATGACCAAAGATCCCGGGTTCGAATCTCAAGTGATCCACACTTGGGGTTGGGTATGACTGGCTGATGACGGCTAATAAGCCAGAAATGGCCATTCCGGTCTCCCTTGTCTTTGTCCGTAGCCAGGTGCGTCTGTGCGCATGTCTGTGTTTCTGGTCTCAGCTGCTGGTGGTCAGGGTTATGATTGGCTGAATGAAGGCAGAATAAGCCCGAAACAGTGCTGTATCAATCTACCCGCATTCTCTGTCGTCCCTCCTTGCTGCTATTATGACTTGGCCGACTTCGGCCTGGTAATTGGTTGCCTGTTCGTGACCTTTGCCACACATACGGAGCTTGTTTGCTTTGTGAAGCCAATAGATCGGTGTGCGCCCATTCCTGATTGATAAATACCCGATCTGCAGCGACAGAGAATGACAGGTGGCGAGGCACTGATGAACTTCGGTTCGATGAAGTGCTTATGACCCATCTGGTAGGCCTCAGTGGTGGACCGACTGCGCCAGGTGCGTCTGTGCGCATGTCTGTGTTTCTGGTCTCAGCTGCTGGTGGTCAGGGTTATGATTGGCTGAATGAAGGCAGAATAAGCCCGAAACAGTGCTGTATCAATCTACCCGCATTCTCTGTCGTCCCTCCTTGCTGATATATATATATATATCAACATGAGTAAAGATTCGAGGTCCTGATAAATTATCCCGTTCATCATCCCCAAAAGAAGACGAAGAAGAAAAAGGGGCGATTGCATGGACCACAGTGTATTGGTGCTGACGTTTCGGAAACTTCCTCGTTTCCATCATCAGAGTGGTGGGGTGTCTGTTCCTGCTTGCTCGAAGTTGTTCTGCCTCGCCGCCTGTCTTGTGTTATAAGCATGCCTGACGCACGAACTCTGACCTGCCTTCTGGCTGGGGATTGGCTTTGGTTCCTCCGAGGGCGGCCAATGACGCGCTCCTGTGACCTCTGCCCCCTGAGCGGCTGTCGTAATCGCTGCCAATCCTGTGTGCCCATGGGCCCTCACCTCATAATCGGATGGACTGATCAGTTGCCGTTGCATGTGCGAATCACGCTCGGCTGTCTGGGCGCGCCGGTGGGGCGATGTCTCGCGTTCGTCGTGTGACCTCCGGCTGGCTCCTTCCCCCTGCTGTGAAGGTGACAACTGTTGGAGGAGCCGCTTTTTCTTCTTCGTCTTCTTTTGGGGATGATGAACGGGATATATATATATATATATATATATATATATATATATTCAATCAGGAATGGGTTCGCACCGATCTATTGGCATCACGAGGGATTTCACTTACTGCCATTTTGCATAAAACACTGCCGTAATCGGAAATGCCGACGTATTGCACAGGGAATGCGTGAAGATAATCTTTTGTTCGACGCAAACGAGAGCGAGTCGACGGGCATCTTGGCATATTCTTAAGAACAGCGATAGGCAGACTTCACAGCGTGCATCCGACTCAGAACGAATGCTTCTTACTCCGCACGGTGTTGGTGAATGTGTCCGGTTCAACATCTTTCCAGAAATTGAAATCTGTCAACGGCGTTACGCACGCCACTTTACTTAGTGCATGCCAGGCTCTCAATTTATTGGAAAACCACCGATACTGGGATGTATGCATTAGTGCCGCGTTCAACACGTCCCATCCACATCGAATTCGTTAATTGTTTGCGGTCATACTGACCGCCTGCTCTCCTTTATCTTCAACAGATTTATGGGAGAAATATAAATCGCACATAGCTGAGGATATCTTTCGTCGACTACGCAAGGAAAATTCCAAATGCGGATTTCACATCACGAATCTACAGCGAGGCGTTAATAGTGATTGGGGATATGTACGTAAGAAATCGCGAAAAAAGTTCCTTATCAACCGGAAATGTCCTCATCAAACCTATCTTCTGCTGTTTCGTTAGATGTAGATTTGGGCAGTGGGCAAAAAAGCGCTCGAGGTCCTCTATCGAACACTGCAAGATTAGCGAGGAAACAGCAGACCATCTGGAGACATTACCGCTACTGCTTGCATGAGACTTCAAGCAAACACTGCCTGTAATTCCTCCATCGGCAACAGCGGACGAAATACATGCCGTATTTACGTTTCTTTGTGGCGCCAAATCCAGACGGCAAAATTAACTAGAAATATGCGTGTCCAGCTGCAAAACTACCGATCAGCTGAGGTATTCTCGCACTAATTGCTGGCAATTGGGAATGCAACGGTGCGCACTGATCCGGCTGCAAGAAGGATTTCCCTACGTCTTAGTTTCGGCAATTTAGTGTCATCAAAAGAGGAATTGGTTGAAAATGTGTCTCCCACTATTCAGACCACTTTCAACAATCACGACTGATTGAGCGACCTAGCTACTCTTGCGGCCACAAACAAACACATGTACCATCTTAACCATATTATTCAGTCTAAATTTCAAAGCGAGGCAACCACATATACGCCCGTCGATACTGTTGTGGAAGCAGACGAGGCAGGTTAATTGTCCAACAGAGATTTTGAATTCACCTGAGCCACAGCAACGCGTGGCAGGGTTCAGCTAGTTTATTAATAAATATCCTGGCCCTCGGTACATCAGTTGCATTTTTAAAATTGTTCTGGATGACTTGCTGCAGTTTTTTGCAGTGATCCTGTTCTCCCCATCGTCATACTCGTGAAAATATCAATGGCTACTCAACACGTTACAGTTGGAATTTTGGTGTTCATGTAGTCCAGTAGGGGATTCACCAGCTAGCGCCAAATGTCCCCTTGACATCTAAGTTTAGTGCAGGCGGACTGCGCAACTAGGCGACCAGACAGGTCGGCCTTCGTCTGGAACCAGTCAGCAAACACCAAATTATCCGCTGAGGCCAGAACTGCCGCTGCTCCCGTCGCCCATTGACCGCCCAACGCACCGAACGACCCTACTCCCCCTTACTTTGCCGGTCTCGCACTGCACGACGCGTCCTGCGCCCGCGCGCCCACGCCCACGCCAGTTCTCACGACTGACGTGGAGGCAGGCACGGTTTGTGCGAATCCCTTGGCTGAATCTGTGGCCATTCTCATCCTTTTTTCCAGAATGCAGACTCTTGCCGTCGCCCAGCCCTGTCCCACGCAAGTTGAATTTTTACCTCAATAAAGGAAGGAGATTCGAGATGTCTACACACTAGGTGGCGGTATCTCGTGAAACGTTACCCAAGGTTTCAACGAATGTTTTCTATTAGGTGTTAGGGTTGTAATTTTCAGAGATGTGATGCTGTCCGGATGACGGTTTTTGCATGAGCTTATTCCCGACCACCTCCAAAATCTCATGCGATAGAAAATGGCTACATAAATGGTATGCCATTATCCATTGGTTCTTGACGTCCGTATAAAGTAAAATACGAGCAGTGGAACTCAGTGGAAACAACGGCATACTACTCAAATAGCCATTTTCTACCGAACGGGTTTTTACAGGCGGCCGAAAAGAAACTCATTCAAAAGCCGCCATCCTGGCGTGACTGAAATATCTTGGGATTATGCTACATGTTAATCAGTATTACAATCCCATCTAAGAAATCCGTTCTGAACGAGAGCGTGCTTTGATGGGATACGCCATCTGCTGCCTCATGACCATGAGGTCGCCACTCCGTGGGAGCCGATCCGCCTCCATTGTCAGCGCCTACGCCCCTTCAATGATCACTCCCGACGACGCGAAGAACAAGTTACTCGAAGACGTGCACGCGCTCCTGGCGTTGGGAACAGTGTTCACTTGTGCGCTCCCCGCGTGGTTAATTACTCCACCTATGCGAAGTCTCAGCAACGAATATGGAAGGGGAAGGTCGTTGCACTTGTTGGTGGACTGGAGGCCTGTGAACCATGAATCAAACAGCTCGCGGCTCACGCGGTTGTCACCTCTAGCGAGAATTTCCGCCTTGTCGAACTTGAATCCGTGGCCGGATCTCGTCGAATGAGCCGCAACTTGAGAACTGGCGTTATTTCTCCGGACGACTGCTGCGTGTTCAACCATTCGCGTTCGGAGCTGCCTTCCGCTTTCTCTGACGTGGTTGCTTTGTCCGCAACTGCACCCGATCCAATAAACGACTCCAGACGTTTCTTGCCGTGGCAGTGGGTCTTTCGATTTCATTATCTGACGCAAACCAGCGTCAAAACCAAGTGAAACGAGCTGCGAATACAATCCGGGCCACCACGATGGAAGCCTTCGGCCGTGCAGGCGGGCAACACCAGGATTGGTCTGATGACAATAACGAAGAAATTCCCATTCTGCTCCCCGACAAACATCGGCCACACGCAATCTACACTATCCAGGACAGCAGCGTCAGTAAAACCGCATAACTCCGATGCCGACGGCTAGTGCAACCGAGGCTGGGGAAACCTGAGATATGCCGACCGTAGTGAGATGAAGAATTTTCCGCTGCCACTAAAGCAGTCTATCGTTCAAAAACCAGAACGGAGCAGATTGAGTAGTGATAAACCGCACAATTCCGGGGCATCCTCAAACACCCATCGACAGTACGCGGAGTCATCAGCCAGCATCTTCAAGTGAATACCAAAGGCGACCTCCATCGCCTTCCTTCTCTCCTTGAGGGAGTCAGAGCAGTGTAACAGCTATACAGATGGAAAGCTGCGAGAACAGGAGCAGTTCAAGTCGATGCTTGAAAGTTTGGCGGCCAAAAAATCACAAAAATGATTACCTCGGTAGTTCAGGAGATGTGACTTCCTGCATGAGGAAATGTTGGATCTCGCTGAAGGTTAGCGGGATAAATGTCGTCCGTAAAAAAAGAGAATGGAGGCTGACTGCACACCAGGTGAAAGGCGGAGCAGAAAACTGTTCACTGAGGTTGCACTTTATCCGGAGTAGGTTTTCATGCCATTTGAACGTAAAAAATGAGAATTCCGACTTAACCTAATGTGACGAGGACTGTCACGGATGACTGCTGCAGCCGCTACTACTACTACTACTACTACTACTACTACTACTGCTATCGATACTACTACTACTACTGCTATCGATACTACTACTACTACTGCTATCGATACTACTACTACTACTACTACTACTACTACTACTACTACTACTACTACTACTACTATCGATACTACTACTACTACTACTACTACTACTACTACTACTACTACTACTACTACTACTACTACTACTACTACTACTACTACTACTTCTACGACTACTACTACTACTTCTACTACTACTACTACTACTACTACTAATACTACTACTACTATTACTACACTTACTACTACTATTGAGATAGCTAGTACCGCTACCAATACTATTGCAGTCACTAAGCATACTATTACCACCGCTGCTGCTGCCGCTACTGCTGCTGCTGCTACCACCGCCAATGTACTGATCCATCGTTACGCGTTAAGTGAATACGATCAATAAAGTGGGCTGGCTCCTCTCCCATTCGTCACGCGAGAGCTTCCGTGTGACAGCAGAGAAGTGGGAATATGACTGATGCCGATAGTAGCGAAAAAGCTGGTTCCAGAAAGTGGTCGTAAAGAAGGAGGCATGATCGCTGGAAAAAATGTTTTATTGGCCTGACGTTTCGGATTTTCACTCGGAGCCATCATCAGAGGCAGAACCAGATAAGGGAGTGGCGTGGGAATCCGAAACATCAGGCAAATAAAGATCTTGTTCCAGCGATCGCATCTCCCCTTCTTCGCTACATGACTGATGACCTGGGCTTCCTTAACAAAAGGCCGAGTTTGTACTGACAATCCATTGAGGTAAGTGGAGATAACACGGCATGACAGAAACGGTAAGAGAAGGTAGAGAAAGAGAGGGAGGAGAGAGAGAGAGTGCGAAGGACTGGCTAGCTAGCCAGCTACCTCATTGGCATAAAAATCTCCTGGCTCGACAACATGCGCAGAATCGTATATTTTGGATGACGAAACACCGACAACGACAGAACACCTGTATGAATTATGGAGTTTTTGGGGTGCACAGAGCAGGGTAGCGAATATGTGCGGGTGTTGATCTTTCGTATAAGGCAGCAAGGGCAGACTGCCATTTCAAATAATTGCTGTTAGATGTGGCGCCGTAGTACGGGACAGTTGACCTGTGTTGAACATTCCGCGATTGTGTGCTCTACAGTTTACGTCTACTCTTCTACGGCCATCAGGGCAAATTCACTTTATTGCCTCTTCATTTGTCTTGCTGGATATCGCTTTTCAATGAGAAGCAAGGGGTCAGAACTGGTGTGACTGACGGACTTCGGCCCAAATTTTCATACATCAAATTTTGGTCTGTGCCTTTAGATCTTAGTATAAACTGACCAACTGCAAGTTAGCGGTTAATTTCTGAGGAAATTAAATTTCAGCAAGCTAATGACAGAGCTAAAAGAAAGAGGTTGCGGTAGAAGGAAAGAGAGCGACGTTTTCTTCAGACTCTTCCGTGCCATCTTCATCCAACCATACGAGCGGTAACGAAAGCGCTGGCCTGGTGAGTAGCCACCTCGTCCTGATTCCTGCTCCCATATCCGGAGTTTGTACTTGCTTTGAGAAGCCAAATTAGGGCAACGATCGCGTAAAGGCCCCCAAACATGCACGACCAGCCAAAGGTGCCTGTCTAACGGGAAAGGTTGTAATAGGGATTTTACGGGGGGGGGGGGGCGATGTATGCTTAGAGAAATGGCAAAATAAGTGCAGATAATTGATTAATTTGTTTAATTTGTAGGCGTATAGCAACCGAAATTAAACAGGGCAATTAAAATAATAAGCATTAAGTGTCTACAACGACCGTTTCTCAACTCTCTGAGCTGAGGTCATTGCAAATAACCCACCAGACTGTCTACAACGATCGCTTCTCAACTCTCTGAACTAAGGTCATTAAGGATGATGCCCCAGACTATCTACAACAGACAATCCAACCTTGTACGATGTAACACCAAACCGAAACAATCTAGTCGGACGAAAACCCACTTACATAAGTATAGAAGGTATTCTTTGTATTCCACAGATGCTTGGGGGCCTTTACCCGATCCTTACCTCAATTAGATTCGATATGTGCGGTTTCCTGCGAGAGATGGCAGTCTCGGTAATGTCCGCTTGGCTCCTTTCTTCCGGCTCTCGGTCTGTTCCTTTCTCGTATGTGCAAGAAATTACCTGTTCGTTGTGAAAGCCCGTAAACTGCGGGAAAATTGCTAGAGAATCAGAGCCAGTCGTTGCACTTACTTCGTCAATCTGACGAAGGCCTGTCACACAGTGAGTTAGAATGGACTCTAGAAAGTCATGTTGGAAGTCATATGCGATGAGCGATTCAAGCAGATGGTTAGACAACTTTAGGACTGGATAATAACACGCGTGACTCACAACAGGACAATCTCTGGAGCATTTCTTCTAACCTTTCTCACTTGACGCCAGCAAACTCCTATACAGTTTGCAGAAATTAAAGCTACTATTGTACGGCCCGCTACCAGTGGAGGAACTGCGCCATTCCGATGTCTGCCAGGTTCTTGATATCGGAGGAGTGAGTGCAGATTTCCGGAGCGCTAGGCGGTCGGCGGTCACCGCGTGCCCGCTAATACGAGTCTTACTCCCCGCCGGAAAAAAATTGCCGCCCACGGCTCACATCGAAGTTAAAAAGCACTCACCTTCCTGCTTCTTCTCACAGTCACCTCCACCTTGGCTTCGGACGACGGTAGGCGGCGTACCACCTGAATTCCAGGCAAGAATTTACTGTGAATTAATTGTATTCAGTGTGACAGGTGCATGTGTGTGTGTGATTTTTTCGTGAGATGAAAAACTCCACTGAAAAGCCTAATTAGCCTTACAGTTGCCACGAAGTCTATGCAAGCTCCTGTAGAACGGACCTGTTAGCAATGTATTCAGTGTACGGCAGAAGGCCTTATGTAAACACTGGAGACAGCCTCATAACAAGACTATGTTCATAGGTGGATGCGAGTGCACTGACCGCGTTACGGAACTCCCTTGTTCCGCTGTGCCTTAAGCCTCTCTCTCTCTCTCTCTCTCTCTCTCGCTCTCTCTCTATCTCTCTCGCGATCCTCCACCTCCCAGCAGCCGCATAGCGCCACGGAGCATGGGCAGAATAGCATCACCGGCAAAGCCCTAGTTCGAGCCCCGGGGATGCATACCCCGGGGTTGGATATCGACGCTTAGTGACGGCTAACGATTCAGAAATGGCCATCACAGTTTACCTTGTCTTTCTCCCCTTCGTAGATGAGCTAAAGGATCAGAATTTACTGAATAAACACATGATCTCTCTTGGCGTGCAGGGCCTGTTTACAAACGTGCCACTGGATGGAACAATTGACATAATTTGTGAGCATGCAGGTAAACCATGTCTGCCACCAGGGCAACTGCGGGAACTACTACAGATATGCACAAAGAATACACAGTCCTTGTCCAACGGGCGGCCGTATTGTCAGATCGATGGTGTAGCTATGGGCAGTCCATTGAGGCTAGTCCTAGCGGACATTTTCATGTCGAATCTCGAGCGAAGGCGAGCCCGGAACTTACAACGAGTCTCATTCTATATGCGATATGTAGATGACATTTTCGCCATAGTAAAAAAACCCAGACGACGGAGAACTACTACTTAGGGCTCTGAAAAAAGCACACGTAAAGATCAAATTTACGATCGAACAGGAGAAGAACGACACACTGCCTTTCCTGAATATTCTTGTACGTAAGCGTGCAGATGACTCCATTCAGAGATCCATCTATCGAAACCCCACCTGGAAAGGACAGTACATGCACATCCTCAGTTTCGTTCCAATTCTGCGAAAACGAAACTTGGTTTTGTGTCTGTCCAATAGAGCCACCAGAATCTGCTCCACAGATACGATTGATTACGAACTCACTTTCCTAAAAAAACGTTTTTCTTGCAAACGGGTATCCGAAGAAATTCATCGATAAATATCGCCATACCAGACAAGGAATTCCTGAAGAAATATCTGTACCAAAAAGCCAGTGACCAGCTTCCTACATTTCAAGGGTAATAACGTGTAAAACGTGATCAAGCGACGACTTCGGTGCACAATCGAACGGACTTATGCCGCCTCTAACTTGTTGTCCATAAGCACTACCACGGCCATTCCAGTTAGACCAGCTAAAAACATTTCTCCTATGCACGCCACACCAAACTGTATTTATGAGTTTACATGTAGTTGCGGATGCAAGTACATTGGGTGCACGCAAAGGCAGTTGGCAGCTCGGTCAGCTGAATTCATGCCGAGGTGGCTGCTTAGGACGGAAAATAAAGTACCCAGGAGCTCAATTACAAAGCACCTAGTGGACACGGGCCATACGGTGGACTCAATGGTTGCATGCAGGGTCCTGTTTCGGGTGGCGACTGGGCTTCTCTTGTGCTTTGCAGAGGCCGCTGTAATACAGAGGAGAAAACTAGAACTTTTAAAGCAACTGGACCACGTGATAAACCTCGCACGGCCATGATCAGGATCGATAATAGACGAAACGCCGTTCCCATATACGTCCTCTCATTTTTCACTAATGTTATTTAGACTTTGTTCATTGACAGCGGCAATGTAAAGAACACAAGGCCTTGCAAGTAAAACAAAACTAACTTAACACTAGGAATCGAAGCCTCAATCGGCTGCACCCTAAATGTGACTACTTCAATGGAAACCTACGTCGCCGTGGCGCAGTTGGATAGGATGATTAATGGCTATCGGTTGCTGCCACTATTGGTAGCAAGGTTGAGGGGTTGCTGCCAGCCAGGGTCTTTGCCAAATTTAGCCTTCAAAATCAGCTGGCGTGAATGCAGCCGAAAAAAAAACAGTTTTTGCCAAATTTACCTGGCGTATCCTTTCAAAATCTACGTACACCGCCCAGTGCCACACCCAGGTGCTGAAAAGGAGGACGAAGTGTAATCCGACATTCTGTGGACAGCTTCAGCGATTGTAAAGTACTGGCTAAATATAACCCTAACTGTAGCGCCCTGGTTACATTTTTTAACGTGGTCTCATGCGATCACTTGGAACAAGATGTTTATTGGCCTGAAGTTTCTACTTCTCACTCGAACCCATGCCCGGAGACAGTGGCAGAATGACCGAACATGCAGCAGCAGTGAGGATGAATGACGCTTGCTCTCACAAGAACCGGCCACGTCTTCAAGTGTGGTGAGACCTAAAGTATCGCACGAGGCGCGAGCTGCTTGAGTCATGGCTCTCAGACCCCCGGTTAGTTAGCGGGCGCAATGACCTCCCAGCACCATTTTCTCTGCT